CAAACTATATAGTTGATGAACAAATAAGATGCTTTCTTAGAAATCTCAATAATAAGCAAATTGTACATAATACTCCTTCTGCTGATCTCAAATATATTAATCTCCTATATCGTAATCAAATGCATACTAATTATAAACAAGATGAACATATACTAAAAAATTTAGTAAATTCTAATATATCAACTACAGATCCAAGCAAAAAAATTAAATTAATCATATACTACACCAAATCTAGTATATCCAACTTAACACTTCGCAATGATTCTTCTCCCCCGGTTAGCGATTTGCAAAAAACCAACATAGTTTATAAATTCAAGTGCCCTTTGGGAGAGTGTATCTCCAACGAATTAAATAATATTTATGTTGGTCACACCACAAAATCGCTTTCACGACGCTTGACACTACATTTGAATGAAAACTCTAACATTTTTAGGCATTTAAAACAACATGCCTGCCCGCACACACAATTCCGTAAAATACTTGTCGAAAACACAACTATACTTCGACATGAAAACAATAGACAAAAACTAAAAATACTTGAAGCATTATACATCAAACAGTTGAAACCCAACCTAAACAAAATCAATTATGGCATCTCTACAAATATTCTTAAATGTCTATAATTGGTAACAGAAGCCATTGGTTTATACCAACGGCTTTCCATACTTCATTCTCCAATTCACTCTCGTGTAGTCATGTGTGACGTCATGAGATGCGGTGCGATTTTCGCTTCTAGCGTCTTATATGCGCGCGTTTATCGTTGCTTAGTGATCAACTATGTAAACAATGACAGACTATCATCACTGTCGTGTCCGTATATTGTTTAATATGTTTGCGATTTACATCTTTGATAATGGCTTCAGTAAGCCGAAAGCTTAGATTATATTAAAAAATATGGATCAATATTGTGAATTTCTTTCTTCGTTTAACGATAATGTTATTAAATATATCAGATTTTACGAAAAAGATTTACATAAAATAAATAGACATCACTTGTCTATATTATTTAATGAAACGCGTATAAATGAAAATATGCTGCCTAAATACACACACAATATATATATATATATATATATATATATATATATATATATATATATATATATATATATATATATATTATGAAATGGAAAGTCCGACAATTATTTAAAGATATTTTTGTCCATTTCATAATGTATGACGTCATTTGTTTACATTTGATACGCCAGTACAGTTATGAATGTACGAGATTCATGGAACATTGAATTTTATAAGCAGTAAATTCGACCTTGCCAACTGAACGATCCTTTGTGGCCGAGTCGGTTAAGGCACGTCAGCGTAAATGACGGTTCCGTATAGGATGCAGATTCGAATCCTGTCAAAGGACGAATATTTTCTATGAAAATTTCTCGGGCATTCAGGCCGGTAAATGTTATTTAATACTATTTATTATAAACAGAGCATTTACTAAAATACTTATCTATAAAAAGAATGTTAAACATAAAAATGTCTTTAAATATATATATATATATATATATATATATATATATATCGTGCTTCGCGTTTTTTTCGTTTTGTTTTAGGAATATGGATCCCGATTCCTTCCGAAGTTTCCCTTTTAAACGTAGAGAATTTTTTTGTTTATACACTTAATTTGTAGAAATATGTAAACTAAAAGAGGGAAGAATCTCTGTGTGTGTGTGTTAGATAAGGTAACCTCAAGAAAAGAACGCGAGAAATTTAAATCAGACGTTATATGTCAGCGTCGAGATTACGATTAAGTCGTCACTGAAGATTACGACATAAAATATTTCTTTTCGCTTTCTTTCCCCTACCCAACCACAATATTTCTCTTCCATTTTTTTTTTTTTTTCTATGTCAAAATAACAACTAAGACAAACTTAATACAGAAACAAAAAATGGTAAGAACGAAGAACAGGGCTAGGAATTAGCTTAGAATCAAATACCCCAAATCGAGTAAGTCCCGATATTGAGATGTAACAATGGTACTTGCCAGAAAGAAAAGTAAGTAGGAAAATCCTAAAGAAAGAAAGAAAAATGGATGGGAGGGAAGATAAACGAAAAAGATTGTCCTTTTGTTGGAATTTTGCGTTTTTGTTCAAATTCTTTTTTAATAGAATATTTTTTATAGAATTTTAGAATTTTTAGAAAATAAAATCTTAATTTCAATCATGTTTTTGTTTTGGGGGATTTTTGTTCAGCAAAGAGAAGAAGTTAATGTTCATAGAATTTTTTAATTTAAATAAAAAAAAATAGGCAGTTATTACTGATGAGATATTTCGTATTTATTTCTTTTTTCAAATTTATTATTAAACAAGAATATAAATATTCAATATAAGAATAAATATTGAATATAAATATTCAATCCATAGCTGGATTTCCCAGCTATGGTTTGAATATCAGGACAGACCCGGTTAAAGAGATAGGACCTGTAACAATTTTATGGTACTTTACAATACATACAGACAGATCAATCTAAACTAATCGCCCAGACATCGTGATCAAAGAACACAAGAACAGAATATGCTTTCTTATTGACATGACAGTACTACCGATTGTAATGTATCTTTGACTCTAGATTCATCCGGTGTACCCACATCTGATTTTCCCCCTAGAACTGAGGTTCTACTGAGTGAGATGCAAACTATGGTATTGGACATCATCTTTAAATTAGACTCCCATAAGGCTAGTGGTAGAGATGGGAACGTACCCTGGATTGGCTCCTGTCCTTAAACTTTACAACTACTGTCTCACCGACTCTTGCTTTCCAGCGTAGACCTCATCTGTTGTGCCTACTTTTAAGAACTCTGGAGAGCCTTCTGACCAATCTAACTACCGTTCTATCAGTCTCCTGCCACCATTCGGTAAAGTCTTCGAGACTTTAATCAATACTAAAATGGTTAAGCACCTTACATCCCATGATCATCTCTCTGACAAGCAATATGGTTTCCCATTTGCCTGAACTACCGCTGATGTGCTCATGGCCATAACTAAATTTTTATTCTAAGCAATTTATTATTAAACAAAAATATAAATAAATGGATTTCCTCGTTTTATTTTAGATTAAGAAAAACAATTTAAAATGCTTATTTTGTTTTACAATGGAGTAATGGATAGCGGCTCGGATTGAAGAATTGGAGAGCCGAGTTCGAATTCCAGTCGAATCCATTACATTCACTTACGTGCTAATACCGTTTTGAAAGACATGAATCCTCCTCTTCTCTCCCCCTCAGCTATGGGTAAATAGCTGAACAGACCGCGTCCTATAGCCTTGGATGGCAACTGGTCTATCGCAGAAAGAAATGGCAACCTACTGCAGGAAAAAAAATCTGCCTCGTCAGTCATGTATTGAAAGATATATGATCGCCTAAGTGTGTATCACGCATGGCACATAACTGATATTTAATTTGTGTTCTTCATTTTTCATTTTTAATTTCCTTCAAATTTGTCATATGTTCATTATCGTGACCTCCCTCTTTATTTAAGCCATTATATCACAAGTAGGAGAGTTATACTTACAATCAGAAGGAGACTAATGACATTTCTAATGTCCATAAGGAAGAGAGACAATTTGGGAAATTTCACACTCAGGCACGAAATATGTGATGCAGAAACACGAACGGGTGCTGGAATCTCAAAAGATACCTAAATCTAAACACTGTAAACATAGGACAATTTCGTTAGTTAAGCAACGTCGAACCTTGTCAGTACGTAGACGGGTGACCGTTTGTGAAGACCAAGTGCTGTAAGCTTGGGTGTGCGAGTGGTGTAATGGATAACGTTTCGGAATTAGAAATCGGAGAGCCGAGTTCCAATATCAGTCGGGTTCGTCATATTCACTTACACGCAAATACCCCTGAAAAAGGTATGGATCCAGCTCTTCTCCTCCTCCCAGCTAAGGATTAAATAGCAGGACTAGTGTCAGTAAATCATTATTATCTCCAAAAATTTATTACAATTTAAAAATACATTCTGGCTTTAAATAATCTGAAAATGGTTGATAAGTCGTGAAAAATAAATCAATAAAAAGTACATAACAAGAAATGCTAAACTATTTCCACAGAGAGAGAAATAGAGGGTAACTTACTTAATACTGTTGTGTAAATTTCTGGAATATATCATGAGGAAAGAATTGGAGAATTTGACAATTTGTTTTCTAAAAATCTTTATATTTATTTTTTTTTCGTCGTTTGACTGTTTCTCTTGTTACTTTTATTTTTGTTCTTTTTTTTATTCCCAGAATTTCTTTCCGGTGGAGTTAACTTCATATTTCTCGTGTTACGATTTATGTTTTAAACATTTTCTCAATTCCTTTCATACTGTCTTAAGTTAAGGTTTCACAGTTTTTGTTCTTTTTAGAGCAGGATAATAAATAATGGTTAAAAGACTTGAATTTCATTCGATTCTTTCTTTCTTTTCCACCCTCCTCCAAGTTTAGGACCCTGTTTCAATTTCTTTGCTTTTTCTCCTTACTATTACAACTGTTATCTTCCCTGTAAACGGTGAGATGAAATTCTTAGATTTCCTTTCCTTTAATTTTATGCATTCAACTCACCTCTTCGTCTACCGGTTTATTTTATTTTTACTGTTTGGGTTTATGATCACAGGTGTGACTTTAAAATCCGAGATCCTGCGCACCTCCCCAACGCACAAAAAAATAAAATAAATAAATAAATACGGATGTGTGCGCAGCGTAGCGGCTATCAGGGCTGGTGAGTGAGATTTGGTGCGTCGAGTTCAAATCCAAGTCGTATCCGCAACGTTATTTTTCACACGAATACACTTAGAAACTGATAAATCCATCTCTCTCTCTCTCTCTCACGCCCACCCCACATCCCCAGAGAAAACTGGATTGTTTTTATAATTGATTGGCAATCAATCTAAGAAAAGGAGAATTCTAAATTCAAAACTCGTAACACTACTCTTATAAAATCCTATCTACCGCATAAGTCGTAGCAGCAACGTCTTGTGTGGTGAAGCTGTGGTCCTATCCTCGACAGGTGAGTCGTTAGGATTAACAAAGATAATATTCTTTCTTTCCTTCTTTCTTTCTTTCTTTCTTTCTTTCTTTCTTTCTACGTTTTCTTTGTTTATTACTTTCTTTCTATTTTCCTACTTTTTTCTTTCTTTCTATTTTCTTACATTTTCTTTCTCTCTCTCTTTTCTTTCTATTTTCCTAGTTTTTCTTTCTTTCCCGCTTTCTTTCTTTTTTTTCTTTCTTTTTTCTTACTTTTTCTTTCTTTCTTTCTTTTTTCTTTTTTGTTTGTTTCTTTCTATTTTCCAATTTTTTTGTTTAACTTTCTAGTTTTTCTTTCTTTCTCTCTTTTTCTTTCTTTCTTTCTTTCTTTCTTTCTTCTTCTTTCTTTCTTTCTTTCTTTCACACTTTCTTTCTTTCTTTTTTGTTTGTTTGTTTCTTTCACTCATACTTTTTATTTCCTTACTTTTTTTCTTTCTTTCTTTCTTTCTTTCTTTCTTTCTTTCACGCATTCTTTCTTTCTTACTTTTTTCTTTGTTTGTTTGTTTGTTTGTTTCTTTTTTTCTTTCTTTCTTTCTCCTTCCTTCCTTCCTTCCTTCCTTTCTATTTTCCCAATTTTTTATTTAACTAGTCTTTCTTTCTTTCTTTCTTTCTTTCTTTCTTTCTTTCTTTCTAACCATGTACGATAACTGAAGTAAAGCAACGTCGTGCCTGGTCAGCACCTAGATGAGTAACCGCTCTGGAATACCACGTGTTAATATTCCATATTTAATACACGACTCATTGTTCTTCGTGATTTTATGTTGTCGTCATAAATATTTTAGAAACATTGTAATTTTTTTTTTTCCCTTCCATCATTTCACCCTTTCCTTTTCCTTCTTCTTTCCTCCCTTCTTCCTTCGTTCATTCCTTCATTAGTCACTTTCTCTCTTTCTACTTTCATTCATTCATTCATTCATTCATTCATTGTTTCCTTCATTTTTTTCCTTCTTTCTTAACTCCTTCATCCCGCTCTTAGTTCATTTTCTTCTTCCTTTCTTCGTCCCTATCTTCCTTCATTTATTCATTCATCACTCCTTTCGTTCCTTCATTCGTTCACTATTTATTACACCTTCTCCCCCCTTCTTTCTTTCTTTCTTTCTTTTTTCATTCATCGCTCCCTCTATTTATTTCCGTTGTTGACGAAGTTGCTCCCACTGGAACTCTATTTTATCTCTTGACTTATTCATTCGACTGTCGACCTATATTTTCGGCTAAGCAGTCTGTCACATGA